TAAATTTAAGCGTATTTATTTCTAGATAAGCACACAATCAGTGGCAATGAGTGGTGTGATGTCAGCAATGAGTGGTGTGATGTAAGTGAGGTGTGACATGTTTTTTTTTATCTGTCTATATCCCTGAGATGAGGTATTATGTTTAACTGCATTATTTACATTACTGAGACTGTTATCCTCATCTTCATTGCCATATTCAAAACATTTCAGTTGTTATCCTCTTGTATCCTTCTATCTCAGTTTGTTGGAGTGCATAGCGAGGTGGATAAAGATGTTGGTTAGATCCAGTGACGAGACCCAAACAGTTGTGAGATCAATACCACAGTGGTGAACCAAAAATTTGGAGAGTTGAATTAAAGGGAAATAACTGAGACATCTGGAAGTGGCATGGCATGTGGAACTAGAACAATATACCTGGTGGATGATATAAAGGGTTTCGGTTTGAAATTCCAATCACCTGAAGAAGGCTGAAGCACACAACAGCTGCCTTTGGTCTGGAAACACCATCTGATACACATATGCTGACTCGCATATATTACCATTCGTGCAGTTGTATGTAAAATTCATATCTGCCTGCTTACAATACGAATGTCCTGCCATTGTTAAATGGAACAGTTCCCAGTTCACTTACTAATTTTTAAAGAGAGACTTGCCACAAATGTACATGAATAACAAATGTAACCTAATCTAAATGGCAAAACAGCTGCATCGACTCTAAACTTGCTTTAAACTTAAGAACTCAAAAACAAAAGATTTGCAGACATATGTTTATATGGACATATATTTTTGTCTTTGGCGTCAGAAATCTGTCTCCAAAGTTTCTAAAAGTCTTTTTGATATGCCCTGTATATATATATATATATATATATATATATATATATGTATACAAAAGAGAAAGATATATATATATATATATATATATACATACATATATATATATATATATATATATATATATCATTACATGGCAAAATGATATGCCCAAACAAATATTAAAAAAAAATTAAATTGTGTGCATGTCTAGTTACATCAATGTATACATTACTTTAGGTCTTAAAGAACAAAACACATCACATAAAAAAATTTTTTCCACTTTGTCATTAATAATTTTTCTATATATATATATATATATATATATATATATATATATATATATATATATATATATATATATATATATATATATATATATGGCCTGATGATTGCATTTAAGCATGAAATACTGTTGTTACTGTTTATACATACATATATATATATATATATATATATATATATATATATATGTATATCTAATGGCTTGCAGAAGATGGTAACTTAAAATATGGAATATATATATATATATATATATATATATATATATATATATATATATATATATATATATATATATATATATAAATTAAAATGGACACTGATGTCAACTCTGTGCAGTGACAGTCCATTTGACACTTGAAAATCTACAGGCCATCGTACTGTCCATTATTATATTTACATTTATGATATTGAGCACTTTTACCCATAAATATAGCATACTTAAAAATACATTTTTATCATATATATGCATATATATATATATGTTCATCTTTCATTGGTCTTCTTTGAATGTACATACACACACACATCAGTGTGGCTAGACATCCAGTTACCTCTAGCTAGGATTGCAACCCGACTTAATTGGTGTCAGCTGGGGATACTATCACTAAGCCATGGGTGCGCAGCAGGTATGAAGGTGAATTAAAGCATATTTATTTTTAGATAAACACACAGTGACTGAGAGAACTCGATCTGATTCACCAAAGAGTCTTGCATTATTTGCCATAACAGTCACTGTTTACAAACCCACCCCCCCCCAGAGAGCTCCTGAAATAAATTTTTCAGAAGCATATATATATATATATATATATATATATATATATATATATATATATATATGTACAGTAAAGATAAAGAATCTGTTGGTATATAATCCAAGTAGATCCTAGTAATATAAAATATTAAAAATGATCAACAAAAAGGGCTCAATGTATTTATTATTACAGAGAAAAAATTACAGAACAAGATCCAAAATCACCTTTCATATATATATATATATATATATATATATATTAAAAGAAGAAAGTTACCGCAAATGTTTTTGGTTATAATGTGTATTTTTTTAAAAAAACATTATGCATTATTTTCCATTTGAAAAAAAAAAAATCCACATTACAACCAAAACCGTTTGTGGTACTTCTCTTTTTAATATACACACTTTTCTGCCGTTGGAATTGCTATAAACCTCTTTCTTTTTATATATATATATATATATATATATATATATATATATATATATATATATGAATTTTTATATTTAATGGGTTGATGTGAAATTAAAGTCTAGCAGGGATCGAAAGTTTGCTGCTCGAAATTACTCTCACTGTTTAATAAAAAAAAACAACATGAGAAATCAGGAATGTCTACTGGAATATGTGTTCCCAATAAATATAATATTTGTAGCAAT